GAGACAGCAGAGATAAATAGCAAGGTGGGAAATGATGATCCATGGAGTCAGTCATTCATGGAGTCATTCTGTCACTCAGTACATGAGTAGCTATTGGGTGCCGGATACTGGGATACCAAGATAAGAAAGATACCATCACTATGCTTAGGAACTCTATAATCCAGAAGAGGGAGACAGAGACATAAGCAATTAGTGCCCTGAAAATTGTTTTAGGGGATGTGATAGCGTATTGGCCCCTCAGTGGAGGCCAGATGGGAGAGGTTAGGAATGGTGACGAGGAGAGTAAGGATATGGAATGAAGAAGGACGTGAAGGTAAAAGTGGGAAACAGTGAACTTACTTGGGGGAAATTATGAGTATCCCGGTGTGGCAGGAGCATGGGGCAGGGTGGGATGCAGAGGTATGGTAAAAGAAAAGTCTCAAGAGTTAGGTGACAGATAGATGTGGAACTTCAGATGCTTTGTTTACGAATTTGGACTTCACCCAAAAGATTTACCAGAATGTGTTTTGTGGGGTGGTGATAGGAAAGAAAGGGTTTTGTATGGTCAAAACGATTTGAGAGGCACCAGTTGAGACAGTTAAGCAGGTATTTACTGTGAAACCTCTTGGATTCTTTATATTGGATAGCATTTCCACAACTATTTGACTACAGACTTGTTTGGAAGGGTATCTCCTGTTTCTCAGAACATGGTTTGGGAAACCCTGAAATACGCATTGGGGAATCAACAAAAAGTTTTAATCAGAAAGTTATGGACTATCATGTAATCTGATTCTATTCTTTTTTTTTTTTTTTTAATTTTTTTTTCAACGTTTTTATTTATGGGACAGACAGAGACAGAGCATGAACGGGGGAGGAGCAGAGACAGAGGGAGACACAGAATCGGAAACAGGCTCCAGGCTCCGAGCCATCAGCCCAGAGCCTGACGCGGGGCTCGAACTCCCGGACCGCGAGATCGTGACCTGGCTGAAGTCGGACGCTTAACCGACTGCGCCACCCAGGCGCCCCTGATTCTATTCTTAATGCATGGTGTGATACTGCGTTAGATGTTGTTCAACCAGTGTTTTTAAACACCAGATATTTTCAAAATGATGTGCTAGATATTCTGGGAAATTAGAAAGATGCATAGGGAGTGTGTCTGGCATTAAAAACACAACATGTTGATTACTTATAAATGTTATTCTGCTAGGCAATTGTTTGAATCAGAGGCAATACCAAAGTGAGGAAGTTGAGAATAAACTTGGAGAATTAGATTTTTGCTCAGTGCTAATTTCTTCAGGGTGTTTAATGTCAATTCTTTCCCCAAAGATTGTCACTCCTCAGATGCATGTGCTTCTTTTGCCTCTTTTTGGACTAGGGTTGTTTCTGGCTAGGGCCCTCACCCAGGCAGCTCAGGGAGTGTAAAGGAAAGAAAGCTGCCAAAGGGAAACTTGTTTTTTTTCCGGGCGTGTGGGGAGGTGTAGCTATTGAGTTTCTTGGCCCTCAAAAGTACTATATTATCAACATATTGAAGCTTTGGTAGATTCAAGGGGAGTCAATTCTAGACATCTTTAGGAGATATCCTGAAGGTGTATCCAAGGGGTTTGGAGAAAAAATAATTAAAGTGAAAGACAAAGGGAAGTTGCACCTGGTGGACAGAAAGAGCAAATCTAGAAATCTGAGAACGTCTTGGACTTTTTTTCTTCCGTAAGTCCTTACTTGTTTCACTCAGTGTCAAGGGAGAGAATCTTCAAATAATGTTCTTGAATTAATTGAATCCTTATTGAATGTTTATTGTCAGTCACATTATCTAGTAGGGAAACATGGAATCAAGTATTTAGAGTGGGTTGGTACAGCCTCAGGCTTTCATTGTCAATTGTATTGTGTGGTTAAGAGCACTGGCCCTGGAACTAGATGGCCTGTGTTCAAATCTATTAAATCATTTCAGTCCAATTACTTAAGTGCCCTAGTCCTTAGTGGATGTAGGATTTTAGCCAAATTACTTAACCTCTCTATGCCTCTACATCTAACAATGGGAAAATGATCGTATGTATCTCTTAAGGCCACGAGGGTTAAAAGAGCCAGTAAATTGAAGTGCTTAGAGCAGTGCCTGCCACACGCCAAGGGTTTCATCAACGGTTAGCCTTAGGATATCTTGATCCTACCATTTTTGTTAGGGTAATAATTTACTGTGGAAATGCATCAAAGAGTAGTAAGTTTTTTTGGCCTAAAAAAGATTCTGTCTTTGGAGAATGGCCTGCTATATCTAAGTAGGATTGGGTGTAAATGGGCTGTTAGAAATATCTAATTCATGTAATTTTAAAATACAGTGAATATTTGTGCATGTAAACAACAATAATAATAACAGCTAACATTTGCCAAGCATATACTCTGTGCCAGAAGTTGTTCCAAGTGCTTTTTATCAGTTCATTTATTTTAGAGTTGAAACTGAGGCACCGAGGGGGTGAGCAATTTGTCCCAGATAACACAGCTAGTTAGGAACAGGGTCAGGTTCAAACCCAGGTCATCTGACCCCATAGCTCAAGCATCCGCTGTGCTAGCCCATCTTTTGTGCAAATGTGTTCTGTATTTTAGATCACTTTGTCAAAATATTTAATTCCATTTACTGCAAATGTAAGTGGAAAACATTAATTAAAACATAAATCAGTTCAGCCTGAAGATAGTTCTTTTTCTGTCCTAGAGTTGCTCTTGGCATCACGTTAGAGCCATATTGACTGTGATTCTTGTGTTCTGTTGATGTAGAAGATTGAATTGGATTTCACCAAGGCATCTGGATGCACGTGTCCGTTCTTTAGAACTGTTTTTCACCTTATATCTTAGCTACATATTTTCAGAGTAGTGTGTAAGTAATGTCACTTTACATGCAGTTTGCAAAATTAGCTGGTTTTTCTGCTATAATTAGGGTTAGAGCTTTAAAAATATAAGGGTTCTATCAAATCCTCACCTATGAGATGTGTGCTTCATAGAATTTTAAAACGGAGAGCATTGAGATGAATATACTTTTTGCATTCTTCAGTGCAAAAATACTAGACTGCTCTAAAAGTTGATCATTTTAGTTGTTCTACTTTCTTGGTGCGAATGTAACACTGCAGGGGTTTGCTTTTAAAGAAAACTGGGCAAAACTAATTTGCCACTAGATGGAGCCCTGGCTCTTTGGGTAGAAAGAAATGTACCAGTCTGGACGTTAAATCACACAGTCATATCACGCTGGAGGGCCCCCCGGTGTTCGAGGCCCCCAGCTTTTAATTGTAGAATGCATCTTTGTTCTTTGCCTGACCTGCAGAGTGACATCACTCCCTTTCTTCCTGTGTGCTGGCTTTGACACAAGCCAGATGGCCGAGGCCATCGGTAGGCGCGCAGGCCGCCTGGTACCGCAGTTGATGAAACAGGATAGGAAGACGTTTTATGGTCAGCTGTGGGAGCACAATGAGGCAGCAGCTTCGCTAAGTAATTACATTCATCGTGCACACTTTATTCCTCTCGGAGAAGGTCACATGGAAAAAAAAATACGTTTTTATTTATAGCGTTGTGAGGTATAGACCTTTGATCTTTTATTAGTCAGTAGTCTGCTCCAAAGGAATGCTCTTTTCCCTGTTCTGCAGTCACTCGTGAAAATGACATGTTTATTTATGTTTAATGGTTCTTTTCGGCTGTGCATTGTGATACTTACCTTCCCTCTTCCTCCCTTTTGTCTCCAGTTCATAACACAAAAATGTTTTAGGTTTGTAGCGAGTTTAGTTTGAAGAAGTCAGAGTTCAGGTATGTTAATACAAGCAGATTTCTGTCAGATATACTCCAGAGTGATTTGGTAAAATACATTACTGTTTATTATGTGTTTGTTCTTCAAGGATGTCAGAAGAGACCAGGAACAGACTTTTATTCTGGGGGGATGAGGGCCAGGAAATGAATAAGACTTTCATCTTATGTCCATTTTTGGACATTTAGTGGTTAAGGTCACTTGTGATGCCAACTTAAAATAAAATATTAGAAGTTAGTATTAATCTAATATTTTCCAGGCTTCGTTTGAAGTTTATCAGTGGCAGGATCGTACAAAACTTGAAGGAAAATACCAGCTGAACTTTTCTCTAAAGTTTAACACTTACAGTTTTGAGATTCTTCCACATAGATTCATTTCCAAAACTTTATAAAAATAGTTTTAGCCTTTTTAAGGCTAGGTTGTGAATATTACTCACAGAATTGGCCTAGAAATTATAAATGATAAGGTCCGATGGAAATTCCTATTTGCTATGCTTTGTTCAAACTTAACACGTTCTAAAGTGAAGTCTCCTGGTTGTCTGTAGGGTATTTGGCTCTCTATTTAAAAAAAAAAAAAAGATTAAGAAAGAAACTGTAACAAAAGGATTCTCTTCATCTTGCAATATTTTACAGTCTTCTTCAGGGAGGGAGATTTACGAATAATTGCTGGAAGGAGGCAACATGGTGTAAAGGAAAGAGCGTGGCTTTGCAGTGAGATAAAACAGGGTTTTCTAATACCTTTTCCACTGGTTATTTGCTATGTGCCCTTGGACCTTTGAGCCTCGATTTCCTCACATATGTACTGGGGGATAAAACCTACCTCCTAGGTTTATTGTAAGAATTAAATGATATAATGTGTGTATTAGGCCCCAGGCGGTTCCTCTCACATGGTATGGACTCAGTAAATGCTGATTCTTTTCAACTGTTTTAAACTTGGTCTCTTTTCTGACCTCTTGCAAAGTGTGTTCACAGATTACACTTTTATATCTTGTATGTTTTTTTCATAAGATGTAAATAAGCCTGGGTTGCAAGTAAGCTCACCATTTGAAAAATAGGCGTTTGAAATTTATTACCACTGTGTGTATACAGTGTTCAGTTCCAGATAAAACCGTAACCATCAATTGTGCAATGAATGTGGTTAATTAACATTTGTGATGTTTTAATTTGTTTTTGTTTTCTTTTTTTCTCCTACTCAGCTCTTGCCCCTGTTCTTTGCCTCTCGTTTTGTTGGTGAAGATATCACAGTGATGTCTGCATTCAACCTGCTGCATTTGGTGACAAAGAGCCAGCCAGTAGCCCTGCGAGCCTGTGGGCTTCCCTCAGGTTGCTGATTCTTGTCCTGTACCTAGTGAGGGCACTGGTCTGGGTGGGTGTTTCTGCTGCAGGAAATGATACACCAGAACGTTTTGCTAAATTCCGTTTTCTTTCACTTGGGCCCTAATTTGAAGACGGAAATTGGTTATAAATCACCACTCTACTTGGAGTAACACTCATTTCCACAATCCTTATAACTCTTGGAAACATTGTCCAGTTTCCTTGTTCAGTCTATAATTGTCACTAATATTTCATGATATCTTCTTGTTCTTTAATGCACACTACACATCTGAAAATCATAATGTTCACGAGAGGCTGGCAGTCTTCATAAGAAACTGCCCCAAATCACCCAAATAGGATATTCATCTCTTGTTAAAGGATAATGAAAATGGTTTTCGTTTCACATGTGGCCATTACTTTGGGAACGGAAAAATGAAAATGAACAACCGTAGTATAATACAGTTACTTATTTATAATAGTCAAAAAGAAATGATGTTGTACTTAACAATGACCAAATAAACAGAACATATATAGCATGCACGTGTCAACTGGTTCTTAATTTAGAACCACTCACTATACTTTTAAAAAATGTGATTTTCAGCTTGTTACACAAGTGAGGCATGAAAGTCCAAAATTGCCTTATGTGCCTATAGCATGAACTTAATATTTTACTTTTATTATGAAAGTCAGAATGGTCAGATATTTTGTGTGAACATTATTATCAACCTTATTTCTATTTTCTATTAATATACATATCTCTATTGCTATATTGTCTAGAGAATTTAATTCCAGCTCATTAAACGTTCACTGAATATTAACTGTGAGTGCCGGGCATTGTGTGAGGCAGTGAGGATATAACGATACAGAAGATCAAGCTGATTTCTCTAATGAGCACAGGGTGGAAATGGTGCTGTGTGAAGGCCGTCGAACTGTGTGGTGATAGGGCCGAATGAAGTTAGGGGAATTCAGAGAAGGGTGGTCCTCGTTCTTTGGTGGGGGGGAAAACATTTGGAAAGGAGGGAAGGTCTCTAAAGTTTAAAGGAGGGCTTTGTGGAGGATATAGTTTCTAAGCTAAATCTCAATCTATAAGCATCAGTTAGCCAGGTGGCCAATGAGTGGGAAGGACAGCTCTCCGGTATGGACTAGCGTGGGCAAGACACGAAGGCCCGAAGGAGCAAGGTACGTCCAGTGAGAGGCAGGTTATTTAATATGGCCAGCTCGGGTGGGGGAGCGCAAGCGCGAGGTGAGGAAGGAAGGTAGCCAGATCATGAAATGTCTTAGGTGATGTATTAAGGAATTTAAATCCTGGAGAAGGGGAAGAAGGTGAAATAACATGACTCGGTTTGCATTTTATAAGGATTATTGATTTAGTATGATGGAAAGTCCATGCTGGTTCCAGATGTTTCTGAGAAGGCTGGGATGGCAACCTGATTTGAAGGGTGGCTAAGGCCTTTGTTTTGAAGCTGTATTTGAGTAGTAAACGGCTGTTGTTTTTGTTGTTGTTGTTAAATAGATTTTATGTCTATTTGTGGTGGCTTGAGAGGCTAATGAAGCTTCATGCATTGAGGGCCCCAATCACTCTGTCAGTACTTTTTCCTCCCGAGCCAGCCATGCCCCTGCATCGCCACCACAGAAAACACTGGGGGAGTTTGAGTTTGAGGCTGGAGGGGACTCAGAAAGTGCAGAAAGTGCTGAGAGCCTCAGGTTTGGAAAGAAGGGGGGAGGGACTCGAGAGAGATTCAGGTTGTAGAACTGACAAGGTTTACCTGCTGAATTGTATATGAGCTTGAGGGAGAACAGCAATTAACGCAGTCCCTGTGCCACGTGGAACTTTTTCCTAACAATGCATTATATGTGAGAGTTATTTAGTTTATATATAACCAGGTTTCCCACTGAATAACACCCCAAAGTGTGAAAAGCACCAATATTGTTCTTGTAACATGAGTTTTCTATACACAGAGGAGGCTGAGTATTTACAGAAACACCTCATTAGTTAATAAATAAGTAATAATATATTCCTTGAGATATTAGAATCATGGAATTCAAGGATTTCATGATGGAATTGTTTAATTGAGATATAAGTGTCTTTAAATTTTGGTATCAAAATGATTCAACAATAAATTCGACAAAACTGATAATTCTTGAGTGGTAACCATTACCGCACAGGGCTTAAACACACAGATTCTGGAGTCTGAGTTTGAAGGCTGGCCGTGCCGCTTAACTGGCTGTGTACCAGGTCTTCCTCATTTGTAATATGAGAGTTAATAATAGCATTAGGTTGCTGTAGGGGATGAAGTAGATGAGGATGTGAAAAGTGCATAGGACAATGGCTGGAATTCAGTAAGCACAATATATAAACGTTAACTAAGTTCACTGTAGGTCTCTGTGTCTGTCTATCTATCTATCTTATCTATTATCTATCGATCTATCATGAATTTTCCTAGTATAATAGACTTTTAAGAACATTTAAATATGTCCTATCTTTCATTTAACTATTTTCACTTTAATACGAACCACAAATGCACTTAATGTTTGAGAAATAACCATCTCAACCTGTTTTTATAGCTTTATTTTACTTAATGTATCCTGCTGAACCAGAATTCAAGTCCTGTATACATGTTTCTTTTATTCTAACTATCCAGGACTGATGGAAGCTCAGTCTCTTGCTTTTCTGGCCTGCAAATCCATTTTAATTCGCTAGATGAATTGGCTAGAATAGTATTCCATAATTCCTTAGCCATTAAGGCACCACTTACTTTTTACAGTGTTAATGAAAGTCAGTCTTCCAGCATTTACATATTTTATGACTTGAATATTAGTAAAATTGTTACCATCCACTTCTCTAACAGAATTCTACTGTTAGAAATATAGAAATGTTGAAGAAATAAAGTTCAATAGCAATAAAACCAACTATTTATATTTTGAAAAGAGAAGTTGAAGTGGGCATTCTTGTCCTTATTACTTTGTGTAAGTACGGAGGGAAGAGGCCAATACTGGAGATATGGGAAATTAAGGTGAAAGTCTGGAGTCTTGCTTTAATTTACTGTTCCCTGGTCAAAACCTATTACAACAAAATTCTCTGTAAATCAAAAAGATTTCTGCTCCCTTAGCCAGTACCCTACTAATTTCAGGTATTATTCAATACAAAATAATTCCAGAACTAAAAAATAATTGGAACAGGCTCTTAAAATTGATTATAACTGGATTGACCTGTAGGAAGGCCACATCCCAGAAGAGTGATCTATCATTTTTCAGCTTTGACTTCTTTTACTTATTTTTAAATAAAGCATAATATTAATTTAGAGCTCATTAAGTGCATCTGAGTTATGGTTCATTCATGTTTGTAATTAAAGGTAATTTCTTTCTCTCTCAGAATTTTGTCTTAATTTCCTATAACAGTTTCATTTTGTATTAAAAGAGCACTGGGATAGGAGTCAGAAAACTCTAACCACAGCCCTGTCGTTAACTTGTGTGACCTTGAACATGACTGTAAACCTCTTCAGATCTCAGTCTCTTTATCTTTAAAACGAAGAATTCAAATTAGATCATCTATTCAGTTCTGAGATTCTGTGATTTTATTAACTGTTACTTGTTTTTATTTTTGGCTTTGGCTTAATCAAATCTGGAAACTAATTAATGGCTAGGAATTTATAGAAAAATCTGCCACATTGTGGTGGGAGAACAGAAATCTTTTCCACATTTGAACATTAGAATTCCTTACCACTAAATCAAGACTGAAGCATTATCTGAGGAGGGATTAGGGAGCACAGTTTTATACATAGTTTCAGTGCTTGATAAAAATTAAGTCTAATTGTAGCTTAGACTAGATAGCATGGTAGCTTCCAGCCAAGTGAAAGTATTTGTCTAAATAGTACTAATTACGGTGATAAATCATACTTTTCTTTAACATCATACACATAATATGTGGTTGTTACTTGACTTCATTGGTGTATTTTACAGTCACCATGGATTGAAGAGCCACATGGCTCTTGGGCAGCTCGTAAAGATACCATATCATAATATTCTAATGTAGAAATTACAAGCCTTAGAGATATTTTGCAAATGGTGTTTGCAAGTCATAGAATATCATCTGTATAACTAGAACTCTCTAGAGCTTAGCACAATGCCTGGCACTTAATAAATATTTGTTAAGTGAATGGATAAACATTTGGAAAGTTTACATGTAGGTGAAGTGATAGCTAAAACAGAGAATACAAATTTACTTGAGCCTCTTTTGCATGGGAAGATTAAAAGTAAAGTTTATAGTTTGGTTGGCTTTTGAATATATTATGGAAAACAATTTCCTTTCTCTTTTCTCACTTTATTGCATTTTGTCCAATGCAGTTGATACCTGAGATATAAAACACATTGTAGCTTAACAGAGAGCAAAAAAGGGGTAACACAGATTCAATATATATTATCCAGACTTGTTTTTTTTTTTTTTTTTTTCTCTCAAACAGTTGGGGTTTTGGTGGTAGATAAAATTTTGAGGAAGGGAATAAGTACATACTATGCTTATTATGAGAATTAGGAATTCCGGCTCTTTTGATCACTTTTCTCTGGAGCAAATTAATGTTGTTTGCTGTGCTTTAAAATTTCCATTTGTAAAGAGGAACTACAACAGATAGGCACCAAAGCACCATCCACAAATAAGAATAATTACTGTCCAAGTTTGAGCTGGCAGTAGTTCATTAATGGCATCTAATATTATATTTACTTACCTTGAAAAAAAATAATTGAAATCATCAGTGTGCTGTTCATCTACTGCATAGGCTGGCCTTCTATTCCAGTTTTGTTTTTTAACCTTTTATGGTTAAGAAAAGATGAACTATCTTCATGATTCTTTGATAAAAATTATGACTCTAATCTCCCAGAAAGTACTTATGTGCACCTACACACAATTTTGTATGTAATTCAAAGGTTTTTGTTAGATATTCTGAAACTCGTAAGGGAAGGGCTCTTTGACCACAGGTTCAGAACCTGTGTTCTAAAAGATACACGTGAAACCA